CCGGCTGCAGCGGTCTGTGTCCCTGCTGCCTCTGCCGACACAGGCGTGGAGAGCAGCGGGGATTTGAATGGACACAGACCGCTGCAACTGTGATCAGACATGGAGTACCCATTGGAAGATTTCAGTCACCTTCTGTTGCTGTAACAATTCTAGATTTGTCATATGGCCACCATCTCCAGTACAGAAAGTGATGGGAAAGCCAAACCTCTCCAACAGGGGCCCACACAAAGAACATGACATGGTTTTAAACTCCATACTATCCAAAGTAAAGAGTGTGCTTTGCACTTAAGTACACAAGAGTTTTAGAAGGCCACTTACCTGTGGCAGATATTTACTGGGTTGGATATAGATGACAAAAAGCAAACATTCTTGTTGCTTCCCCATAAATGCACCACACTTCAAATAACCAAGGTGTGAAGACAAGGCGCATGCTTAACATTTCAGCGAACTCAAATCAGAACACATTCAGTATTTTCCATACCATTATTGTCTTAAGGACACAGATCAGCTGAATTTCTGCAGCGTTCTATGCAAACATGAAAATCACAATAACCGTACAGATTACGGTTGAGATCCACCACCTTTTTTTTTTATAGGCTATACTATAGACCTATTCTACAACCTACAGAGTCTACTCATAACATTTAATTATAATTGAGGATATAATTTCACTATCAAATTTGCCAGTCTGCAGAAGATATTGTAGCTTCATGTCTAAAGGGCATGGAAGATTAAACACTAAACCTTACTGTCTTGATGACAATGTATGGGCTGTAAAAGGAGGTGTTAAGAGTATAGGGAGAAAAATAAGAACTTTTCCCCAATACTTGGAGCTGGAGTGTGAAACTGCAGCCATCACATACCAGCTCTACAGATTGAGAACTGAGTGATCACAAACTGCTGATTGCTCAGCTTGGGATTGCAGATCCCACAGGGATTGCTCCCTCTGTTCCTTCAGTGCTCATGGAGGGGTGGGCACAGCTGGCTGGCTCTAGAGGCAGAGCCAGCTGTCAATATTGTTGTATTGTTGGGGTCTTTCTCCTGCTGTGGAAAGGCTCTGTTGTCAGCAAATATAGACTTTAGATGCTGACTTTTGGGTCAAAGCAGTACATTTACTTTTGTACTTCTGTGACCCAAGAGGACTAAAGCAATGGGGGGGGGGGGGAATTTAGCTCTTATACTACAATTTTCCTGTAAGGCTGCAGAACCTTATGAAACAGTCACTTGTAAATCATTCATGAAATCAGACTCAGGAAGCTTTCTCAATCTACATCCTGTAACAATCTAAGAGGCTGAGGGAGATACAAGAGATAAGAGTAATTTTAGAGACATTGCAGACAAATCTGAAGAGACATTAGATGAATGGACAGAAAGCCATACAGAAAAGGTTCTGCACAGGCAGTCTAGGAGCTGGGAACATTGACAGAATACACTATAGTCAGCAGTAACTTGTTCAGGAAAGACAATAAAAAGGTTGTCTGAGTTTAAGACAGGGGTTGAATAAAGCTAACAGATGGTGAACATCCTCCTTCTCTAATCATGGCATGCACTGCATTTTGGGAATAGGCAACAGTGAAGAGGGGTGGGGGGATTCAACCGAAGCACTTCACTGCTCAAGTCACAACCCTCAGGGACTGTTCACACCATGTCATTTTCAGGCCTAAAATGTGGAATATAACATGGGTGCAAAAAATGAAAGGGCCTCAGTCATGAAGGGGTTAATGGCATTATGCAACACCTACCATGCACTAGTGTGGCAGGGGTATTGGCATTCATTTGACTGGCACCCCAAACACCTCCCAGCTGCAACGCACTTGGTACCACATTACTGTGCATTGGGGCTGAAGAATCAGTGCATGCTACAGCTGCAACAATTATTTTCATAATTGATTAGTTGGCCAATACTTTGATTCATCTATTAAAATCAGATACAAAAACAACCCTGCCCCATTTAGAGGGAACTATTGCCCAACCTTTTTTGGCCATAGTTCTCTTCAGGGTCACAGGAGGACATATGCCAATGACCACCGGTGACCCCAAAAACTGTATATAGCAGGTTATTGCCTGCTATATGCCGAGTGCAGAGCAGCACTGCAGCCAGGACTCATCCCGACCATACACCATGGTACATAGGCGCTCCTGACTTTTCCCCCCCATTTGTATGCGTGCATTTGCAGGGCAGGGGACTTTTTGGCATTTTTATTCACAACTCTTGGCATGGTCCTTTTTAACCTTGGATGAGACACCTGATCTAGAATTTATGGGGTAGGGGCTGGTGATGCACAGCTTACCATCTGCCAGTTTGTGCAATACAGGGACATCATTTCACTAGGACATGCTGGAATAGACATTTCCCCAAAAAAGAAAGCCAAATGGCCGTCTTGTATGAAGGCAGCTGTAGTTATCTTGTATAAGTCATAGAATGAAAGGATAGTATTACAGCTTGCTTAGGATAATCTTTTGCTGTGACCCACTAAAATACCATTCTGTAAATAGTTTTATCTAGCAGAACTACAAAGCCTCCCTAGATATTGCCATGACCTACATCTGCATTCCCCACCAGAGGTAGCATACATTCCTAAAGCAGATGAACGAACTAGCAGTTCCACTCGACAAGACTGAAAGAGCCAATACTTAACAATGTCCAGGCATTCTGACTGCTATAATCCAAGTGAAGCTGGAGGAAAATATTACCAATAAAAAGGCAAAGGTTTTATATACGGGTTAGTCAAAAAAACATTGTATAGACTCCTCCACCTCAAATGTTCCATACTGGACACTGTTAATGCTCATTTCTCTGCCCAGACAAGTGTCAAACAAGAGCCACATTTCTCTGCATTACATGGCTGTTATCCAACAATGGACCATGGCACACAAGCTATTTAGCTACATGTGCACTGCAAATTGTTGCAATGGCCGAGCTACAGGCACCAACTATTTGTAGGTCAGGTATAGAACAGACTTTGGATAACATAAGACGCTGACTTCAAACACAGCAATGTGAAGGT